TATATAACAGGATATATAGTATGTACATGCGGAAAGAATGTGACCCCTTGCCTTCTCTTTTCTCAATCATACAAAACGAATTGTGTTAACCTTTAAAAAAATAAGGATGGTGAGTGTATTAGACTGGAGTCCCTGAACCACTGAATGCTTTGCAGTTTTGGCTAAAATTTCTATCTGAAACCAGCTGCTAGAACTGGCCTTAAATGTAAGCAAACAAAAGGCTAGTTTGGTTCCTGCTCTTTTTATGAACTTGTCAAATCATAGGCAGCTCTGTCTGCTTCTCGGACAGCTGGTACAGAAGGAAAGATTACCCATTCAGTGATTTCCTGCTCCTCTTGGCAATGAGGCATTCCCCCACCCTGAGGCCCTAAAAATCAGTGTCCCCTGTCCAGTTTGAGACTATACCAGCTGGCTTCATGTTCTCTTGTGGAGCAGGAATTGCAGGCACCACTATATCCAGTTTACACCGCTATATTCCACACTTAACTCTGGCACCCTGAGCAATAACTATGTCAGGGCCTTTGAGTATAGATCATAGAATGATATTTCTTGTTTGTGTTCAGGTCTTGCACATGATTTCAGGATAATGATGGGCCAATTTCTACTGTAAATCTAGAGTATCCCCTTGACTTCAGTTTGTGGACTTACAGCTGCAGAATACTAGTAGATGGCCTCTGAGTGACCATAACATTAGCCACAGGATGTATGGTTTGAGTAATTTGAATTTCAGACAGATTATTTACAGAACAAAGAGTGTCTGTTTCCTGTTTGGCCACACACAATGACACTTTTTGTTAGCTAAAAAGATATTTCCAATCAGGAAACTGAACCAAGAGACTTGGTTGGTGAATAGAACAGCATCTTAGAAGAACAGAATCTTTCAAAATAGTAGTTATTTCTGACTGTAATAGAGAGTCCTCTAGCTAAACAAATGTTCCATTCTCCTAAATTGCATTGTGCAAAGATGAATCCAAGTAATTATAGTGTCACATTATGAAGAAAAGTTAGCCATCATCAAGAGACGATTATATTTTGATAGCTATGTAAGAAATAATTAAAGTACAAAAATGAAGATCCTAGAAGCACGAGAGATCTCAAAGCAGGATGCAAACCATTTTCCTAAGGAGGAGGCCCAGAGAGAGGTCTCCAGAAGTGCATCTGTCCCACAGTGGAGAGTATGGGATAACAGAAGGGGTTATGGGGGCATGGCTTAGTTTGGTACACAGCTCTCAGAGGGCAGAGCCAGCTACAGGCAGGGTTGCAGCCAGGGAAAGAAGGTCAGAGATATTCCAATGTACAGTACCACTGCAATGTACAGTCTGGAAAGTGTAGGAGGAGGTATGATGCAGCCTTGCTGGCCCCAAATGCCCCTATTTCCTGTGGCAAGTCCTAGAATCCAGGCAGCAGTCCCCTCACATTGTTGTCCTGCTGCGTACAGGCTCAGGAAAGTGCTAGGCTGCAGCACTGGGACTTCGGCAGAGGCTCCCGCATTGAGCAAGCCTGTCTGTTACCTCCCATGTGGGTCCCTACTATCTCAGACATAGCTTGGAGGAAAATGGCAACTGCCAGGTCTCTGTTCAGTGCTGTCCAAGGATGGGGAGGGGTGTATGGCCCCATCCCGTCTCAAAGCACTTTAAATACATAGAAAATGTATTCATTGGGATTTCTCCACTGTGCAGTGAAATACTGCTATCTCTATGGTAGGAGATAGGGGCTGATAACATTCACAAACACTCCATATCCCAACACCTTAGGGCAGCAGATGAAGAAACATCCTACTGTCCATGGACATTAAGTGGAATTGAAGTACCCACTTTCAATTTTGGCCATTTTTGCTGTGGTCTATAACTACTAAAATTGACTACCACACTTGTGGCAGGGTCATAAAAATAATTATAATAATAGCAAAAACCTGGGAAGATTTGAAAAGAAGCATAGGTGCTAGCTGCAAAGCTCATTAGGGAAAATTTTACCATGGAATCAGTCTCACCATAGGCTTGTTACACCCAGAAAATTATTCTTCAAAATACTATGTAGATTAATTGACACATTTCTGGTAAGTGTCTGGTGTCTGGACTCTTCAGCCAACAACATAAAAAGGAAAAATCATGAGGAAAACTGATCAAGTTGGTAATCAATATGTGCTGCAGCTAGATATCTAGTAAATGGGTATATATATTTACAAGATAATCTAATTAAAGTTAATTCTGTAACATCTCTTGAGAGACAGCAGAGGAATAAGAGGTATAGTCATTGAGGGTGTGTCTAGACTACAGGGTTTTTTTAAAAAAAAGTGGCCTTTTTTAAAAAAAACTTCCCCTGCATCTAGACTGCTGCTGCATTCTTTTGAAAGTAAATCAAATGAATGTGACAGTTTTTTTGACTGCGGAAAACCTCGTTTTATGAGGAAGAATGCCTTTTTTCGAAAGTGCTCTTTCAAAAAAAGACGCTATGTAATGCAAACTGTGATTTTTTTGAAAGAGAGCATCCAGACTGCCTGGGTGCTCTCTTTCGAAAAAGCAGCTTGCTTTTTTGAAAGTACTGGTTGTAGTCTAGACACTCTTTTTCAAAAGAGGCTTTTTTGAAAGTATCGTTTGAAAAAGCCTCTTTTGAAAGAGGCTTGCAGTCTAGACGTAGTCCATTTACATCATGAGAAGTGATGCTCTGAAAATGTCATTGTGTGTTTCAGTGTTACTTGCTTCTCACTGACTCCAGATCAAATTTGTTCCATTTCCAAGTCAAAAGTTTAATTTTGCCAACATCCAGTTATAAAAGACCAGCAAACTCTCTCAGGAGAGATGGAACCTCTTGCAACTTCAGTAGAGATACAGGGAAAGAATGGTGTTGTGGCTAAGACACACGAGTGACAAGAAATTAAGGTTCCATTCCCTGCTCTGACATTGATGCATTGCATGATCTTGGACAAAGCCATTTGTGTCCCAGATTCTATAAAACGGGGGTGATGATACTCTGCTACTTGATTGGACTGCTATGGTGTTACCATTTGCAAAGCACTTTGAGATTCTTCGATGGGGCATATGGTTATGGTGACCATATTTTCTGAATAAAAAATGGGGACACATTAGCCTCATGCCTGGTACTTCCAAGGTCAAAATAGACACATGAATGGAAGTAAAGGGTGTCATGTGACCCACCCACCCTTAAGAACTCCTCCCACCATCCTCTACCAATAGGGATGTGTTTGGGCCCCATAGGACTCCCCCATGCAACTATACTGCAATTGCATTAACCCAGCCCAAGATCTAGGGTACTATGACATTTCTACTTGCTAGTTTTCAAAACAAGTGAATGCATATTTATCCAACTAGGGAGTCGAGGCAATGGTGTTTGACTTATTGACCCCCTAATAAAGTAGGGATGTAAAATCCTGTTTAATCAGTTAACTGGTTAAATATTATGGTGCTGTGGGCAGGGACCTGCTGCAGCCCAGCCAGGCCTGTTGTGCCTCAAGTTGCTTGGGCAAGCTGGGCCCACCCCAGGCGTGGGGCTGGCCAGCCTGGGCTCACAACACTGCACCGCAGGTGGGTGAGGAGTTGCTCCAGTCTCGCTTGGCTGGAGGGCTTTCCTCCCCGTCTCCATGGTGCAGCAGGCCCAGAAGGGCTGGAGCAGCCCTTCTGAGCTGCCAGGTAACCAGTAACCAGAATGCATCGCCCAGTAAGGGTGATGTTTACCAGTTAACCACTGACATCCCTATCATAAAGAAGCAACAGTGCTTATATTTCTTATATGTATGAATTGAAGAAATTCTCTTAAATAAGTACAAACAGTGAGTTATGGATATTCTGCAAGGAGAAACAAGAAGCTAATTTTTCCATCTTACTAACTGAATAATTTATTCTGCTCCAGTTATTAAGGTTCTGCAACTAGAACTCTGCAGAAAATTTTGATACTAATACATCAACCAGAAATACTTAACACCTACCATTCTTAATGACAATATCCCTGTCTCTCACATTAAGTGTATTCTCTTAGTGCATACAATGAGACAAATCTCAAAGCCTGCACTCAGCAAAATTCCTGTACATTTTGTGCTAATATGATTACCAAGACAGCAGATGAAAGCTGATAGACATATAGCCAAATAACCTGTTCCCCTCAAAATTAAAACCCTCTCTAGGTCATGGCGTATGCTCACCAGCATCAATCATTGAAAAATAGAACCTTGGGCTGCATTTATAAGAATTATGATATTCATGCTGTTGATACTTCTTAGGAGAGAGTCCCCATGTTCTGAAGATGCTGTCCACTGGTCATTCAGAGTTGAATTCTGGTCTCTAACTTTAATTGATTTACTCCAGTTATTTTGTTGTCATTGAAAGCAGAATTTTGCCCTTATTTCCAGTGTTGTTATCCTCCTTACCTAACTGCTAAATACAGCAGCTTTCAGCCTGATTATTCTTTGTTCTGTTGTTTTTTTTTAAACAAAAGCTGCACTGGGCTCTGTTTATCCATCTGTCAATGACATCCCAACTGCTCAAACATTTGGGTGAACAAGAGCAGGTGATCTTTTTGTTGTCAATCTCAAAAAACATAATTGTACTAGGGTTTACAGGGGACTTTGTTAGGTGAGATTTACTTGGTATTATTACACTGATATATATTCATTTAAAAATTATGAGAAGAGTTTCTCAAAAAGACCATAACATCTCTTCTGGGTGCAACTTTATGGATGCGTGCACCCTCTTGTCACTCTTTTACAGGTATGTACACACAAAGATACACACAACACATATTTTTCTCAAGAAGTTGAAGACACTTTCCATTCAGACTCACTGACACATTCTGATAGCTGGTCTGACTACATTCCTCATCCTGCAGGAAAGTTTCACACAGTTGATGAGCAGGTTGCCAGGTTTTCTTCCCTAATCTATAGCACCACTCTGCCCTTCTCTATCCCTTTTATCTGACCACCTAAAAGTACTTTGCAGACATCAATTAATCCTCAAAGCACTCCCCTAATTATGATTTTCATTTTGCAGATTGTGAAACTGAAACACATAGCGGTCACAAGTGATTTTTGCGGCACTACATTGAAAGTTTGATATATCCAGAAATGGAACATGAAGGGGCTGACTGTGTTCTCATTTACACTATCTGTGCGTAAATGTGCAGATTCTTTTGGTACATATATAAAGGAAAAAGGATTGACTTGATTCAGCAATCTTCTTGAATTCTTCAGGGAAGAAGGCTTTCAGAAGGATCTCTGCTTATCTCAGGAACCTTTTGAAGAGTCTGTAATGCTGCAGTCTTGGTCAATTGGGGTTGAATTTACCAATCATATGATTCTAATGGTGTATATGAAGGTACACTGGGAAATAAATTTGACATCCAGACTTAAAAACAAGGCACAGGTATGTAAGAGTCATTATAGTATTTATCTGGGTCAAGGTTGTGAAACATATATTGTGAAATTCCCTCTTCCTGTAAGAGGAAATTTGTGGGACAATGAGAGGGACCACATTTCTTTTGGGATTCATGACTGACAGAGGTTGCACTTTTGTCATAACCTTGTATGGAAGAGCATTAATCCCAACACGTTTGCCCATCCATAGGAAACCCAATAAAATAGTCTGAGGCAAGGAAGATGATGGTGTGGCAAAAAGAGAACCGCTTTGTATGAGGGGCATCCAGCTATCCTCAAAGGGATTTGAAGATATGACCTTGCTCTCTTTTTCAACTGCTATATTATATAATACATTCTGCTGCTTTCTGCTGAGGATTTACTTAGAAGTTGCTTCAAAACAGCATTGAACAGCATCCTCAATAAAGCACCTCAGAACTTAGTTCTGCACCTGCGAGGTGTATACATTCTCTGTGTGACTAAGACAGTATCAGCATTTTTATACCAGTGCACCGCAGTACCTAAGACAGGCTCAGGAGAAGGACAGGCACTTGTCTTAATGTGAGTCAAATGGAGTAAAAGAGGGACTCCCCTATAATGTTTATGATGGGTTACACTTCTTGAAGGTGAGGTCTCCCTGCTTCTAGCAGCAAAACCCCAGCATAGTGGAGATACAGAATGTAGAATAACTGCAATGTCCATGAGCGCAGAACACCCTGGCAACCACGCTAAGGCCCAGCAGTTTTTTACTGCGGCCCGATACCGGGCCATCACCCATATTTTGGGAAACGCTGTGTTGTGGGAATTAGCTACAGATTTGAACCTTTTTAGTCCAGCACAGTCTGGTCCGGTAACATCCGTATTCTGACATGATTTTAGTTAGCCAAATGTCTACTTATCATCAGTGAGGCCAAGTTTGCCACAGCCTCATAAAGTTTGTTTACAGCCACCAGCCCTGGCTTTCACTATTCTGTGCTGTTATTTAGTTCTAATTTACCCCTAAAAGTCATCTAAGAGCCCAGTAAGCAATGGAAGTGTTGGCAATGCTTGTAGACAATATTGACCTCTTGTGGTTCAGCAAATTATCTGGTTTAGCATCAGTCAGGTCCCGAGGGTACCAGGTTAGAGAGATTCAACCTATATATTAGTATAAGCACAATACCAGTTTAATTAAACCAGTGCAGAATCTGTGTATAAGATAGTTTAGTCTATCCTGCTGCTTTCATTATACATGGCCTAAGGCATTCAGAGTGCGTGAGTAAGAGTCAAAGATCTGTTCTTTGGAGACGACCACACAGCCCTTACCTTCAAAAAACCATTTGCCATAATTTTCAGTTTGATTTTGTTTGTTTTCTTTTCCTTCCTACAGACAGCTATGTATAATGAAACACTTTAGGACAGCAAAGTCATAAGCAGCTGTGGGTTCTTTTCTTTCCACCAATTTTCTGATCTCTAAGGGTATGTCTAGACTACATCCTTCTGTCGCCAGAGGGATGTAAATTAGACATACCAAAATTGCTAATGAAGTGGGGATTTAAATCTTCCAGGCGTCATTAGCATAAAAACGGCCGCCACTTTTTGTCGCCATGGAGCTTTGGCGACAAAAAGTGGCAGCCTAGCCACGGTTCTGTTGCTCACTAAAGCCTTTGGTGACAGATCCCTTATGCCTCGTAAAACAGCAGCCATTTTTATACTAATGAAGCCCGGGAGATTTAAATCCCCACTTCATTAGCAATTTCGGTATGTCTCATTTACATCACTCTGGCGACAGAGGGATGTAGTCTAGAAATACCCTAAAAGTCCATTATATTCTTCTGTTAATTATGAAGTCAGAAAAGCAGAGGGCATGTCTAGACTACATAGTTTTTTTAAAAAACTTCATCTGCGTCTAGACTGAAATTGCTTTCTTTCGAAATTAAATTGTAAGAATGTGGCAATTTTGTTGATATTGGTAAACCTCATTTTACAAAGAAGAACACCTTTTTTGAAAGAGCTCTTTCAAAAAAAAGCGTGTGTGGACGTGGGAGAGGCAGTTCTTTTGAAAAAAGAGGCCTCCAGGAAAAACCCTTGTGGACAATCCGTCTACACTAATCACTGCTCTATAGTTCCTGTCTCCAGCCAGGACTTAAAGGCACAGGCATCTGGGTAAGCCACTGTGGCAGGAAGCCAGCTTCAGGGAAGCACACTGATTGCGCAGCTCTCCCTGCCACACCAGCCATCAGATATGGCACAACCACTAGGCTCCCGAGGTCACCCTGCCCTTCCAGGGAGCTGCCTCAGGGGTCCCAGGACCCCCCCCGGGGCAAGAAATGCAGTGCACCTTCCTGGTTAGGGGCTGAGATCCAGGCCCTCCTGGAGCTCTGGACTGAGGAGGAGTCTCTCCAGGACCTTCAGTCATGGCGCCAAAACACAGACACATATGGATGGATGGCCAAAGCTCTGGCCACAGAAGCCACCACCCTCGCACCCTTGACCAAATCCAGACAAAGGTAAAGGAGCTGTGGCAGAGCTATGCTCAGGCCCGTGAGGCCAGCTCCTGCTCCGGGGCAGCACAATTATCCTGCCCATACTACAAGGAGCTCCAGCAGATCCTGGATGGTGGTGGTGAACCACAATCTCCATGTGGAGTCGGGGTTAGAGACACCTGTGGTCACCCAGCCGGTGATCCAAGAGGAGGCGGACACAAGTGGAGTCATCACCCACAGCCTGGAGCCAGTCCCCCAGGCCCAGGACACCTCCCGGGCTTCATCTGATGGCAGGGAGGGAACATCAGGGGAGTGCTGTGAGGTTGGCGCACACACAGGGCAGGGGAGGCAGGGTCATGGGATGGGGCACGCTGGGCACAAGGGTGTATGCATGACCCCACACAGACTGATGAGTGTTGCACATAGCACACTGCATGAGGCATGACCTGCTCCTGCAAACAGCGCTGCCAGGTGCAGGTGTGTGTGGGGGGGGGGAGCAAGGATGGCCACCTAGGAACTCCCTCTAGCCAGACAGTTCCCTAGCCTGCTTGTCCATAGAGCGGGGGGAAACATGCAGGATGATCCTCTGGGCACCTCAGGGTCCCTGAGGCCGGGGCTGCTGGGCGGGTAACACTTGGCCTGGCTCTCAGGACATCAGCGTCACCTCTACCAAGGACAGTTGCTCACTGCTCATAGAGGAGTGTTCAGGAACACAGAGTATGTTCAGGAATGACTGACCGCCTCTCCCTTTTGTCCTCCACCACTGGGCCAGCTGTTGATGAGGGGCGAGCCACCCCAGCCGAAGCCAAGGGAGCTGCAGGCACTGGCAGGCACACCAGGACCTGATGCGCCAGCATATCTCGATCATGCAAGATCTTCAACAAACCCTTGCCCAGAAGTACCACGAGGAGGCCGAGTGGTGCAAGCGCATGTTGGGCAAGCTGGTACGGCAGGG